TCACAAATTTTGCTGGGTATTTTGTGTGATAGACTAAATGTAAGTTGTCTATTATGATAATTATATAAAGAGATGATATATTTAAGCTTGAGAAGATACTATATATATAACAAATATATATATATATATATATAATTGTTATATATATAGTATCTTCCTCAAGCTTAAATATATCATCACTTTACATAATTACCATAATAGACAACTTACATTTAGTCTATCACACAAAATACCCAGCAAAATTTGTGAACACCGGGTTAGGTTGGCAGTAATTCCCATGGAACTGCCACATTTGAAAAAACCAGAGTTGTTTGGTTGTGTCGAAATACCAAAGTCCAAGCAAACTTTTTCGGTGACTTTGAGGATCATGGAAAAGCTTGTCCTATACACTGCAAACACACACCCAGTGACATTGCAAGCAGTGATGTGAACACTCTCTTTTGTGTGAGTGTGCTGGGTTTGACTGGGGTAAAACTGGTTTTCTCCCCAGTGGGATGTGTTTTGGAACTGTGCTGAACATGGGGTTGATAATTCAGGGATGTTTTGTTAGTGCTGAGCAGGGTTTACACAGAGACAAGGATTTTCCTTCTTAGCCCACCATAGGGGGGTCCCAAGAAGTTGGGAGGGGACACAGCCTGGACAGCTGACCCCAACTGACTCCAGGGGTATTCCAGACCATACAGTGTCATGCTCAAGATGTAAAACTGGGGAAAGAGGGAAGAAGGGAGGCATATTTGGAATGATGGTGTTTGAATTTCCAAGTCACAGTTCTGTGAGATGGAGTCCTGCTGTCTTAAACACACCTGTCTAACCGTGCCAAGCGTGGAATGGTTTCCTTGGTTTGCTTTGCTTGAGTGTGCTGATTTTGCTTGACCTGTTAAACTGTGTTTATCTCTTCTCACAAGTTTTAGAATCACAGAATGGTTTGGGTAAGAAGGGACCTTAAATCTCATCTCATTCCAGTCCCCCTGCCATGGACAGGGACACCTCCCACTAGACCAGGTTTCTCCAAGGCCTGTCCAGCCTGGCCTTGGACACTTCCACGGATGGAGGTTTTCTCACTTTTAGATTCTCTCCCTTGGCTGTTTGGTGCTTAATTACCAGCTGGGGTTAAATGAAGACACCAAGTCACGACCCTTTAACCTGTTTTTCACTTTCTACAAGACTGTCAAGTTCCCCAAAGCCCAAAGCACTGAGCACCGATGGGGACTTTCCTCTGTTACAGCAGCCAGGGCACAAGCGTGGTCAGACCTGGATGAGAAGACGTGTTCAGCAGATCTGTCTGCTCACAGGCCCCTGCAGGGTGTGTGGCCCCACTGTCACCACAGCCTTTTCCACACTTTTCCAGGTATCAGAAACTCCCCAGAGCTGATCCGTGGGCTCTCTCAACAGAAACAGCGCTGCAGGACTGGGAGTGAGGAAAGAGGGATAAAGTGGCATCCATGGATGCAGAGCTGTATGACTCCAGTGTTCTCTGGGTAAGACACCAGTCCTTTAGGAGTCAAGTGCCCTGGCATGAGTGGTGATTTTAATAATTTTTTAATAATTAATTTTCTACGCCCACCTGTCCCCTGCTAATCAGATAAACAGACCAGCAGCACTGACTGTTACTTACTGTATAGATCCAGGTAATTGTTTAGCTCCTGTCTTGCTACTTAGTCCCTGGGCTAACCTAAGCTCCACTAATACTGACTAACAGAAGTCTAACTTTCCTTGTTGTAGTGTAGCAGCATTATCTTTCAGCTGACTCTCAATTTACCAGAGCCAATTGAGACATATTGTTTTACGAGCCTTGGAAAAAAGTGACCTGGCTCTGTACTTCACCTTCTTTCTTTTATCGTGTAGTACAACATTGCCTTAAAAATTCTCTTCCTAAACTTAGAGAAGCAGGGAGAAACCTCAGACATATTCCAGGTACTTCCCATCTTCTGCTTAAAAACAGTGTAAGAGGGAGAAAACAAAAGGTGTTTGTGTACTTCAATGTTTTTTGTAAGTCTGAGAGATAATACATTACTCAGGATACTGAATATATTTTTTCTGTGCTTAAACCCACTTTTAGCAACTGCCTGTTGGATAGTCCATGTCCCATTTACTCCTTGAGGCTTTCCTACTTCAGAGGGAATTGAATACACATGCCCTGCTGTTTGCAGGAGCAGAGTTGAGCTGAGGAGGCTTGACCTGTGGAACACTTGTTATTTTGGGGTCTGCTGTAATTGTTAGCCAGGCTTTCTTTTGGAATACTCAGAAATCTTAAGGGCTCTTGTCGGGATGGGTTGAATGATTCTGCAGAAGTACCTACACAGGGAAAAAATGTTATAGATTCTGTGAGTGGGATGGATCTTCAGGTCACAGCTCTGTATGGAAATAACAACTGGAGGGTGCTGATACCAGAGCAGTTCAGTGGTCAGCCAGCAGTGAGGAGAGTGGTTCCAGAACCATTGTGGAGTGCACAGATCAGTGATTTCCAGGAACTCCAGTAGAGTAAAAGCAGCTTTAATTCCAGGCATGCAGGCATGTGAAATAGTATTTTTTATACAGCGTTATGTATGTTATATATAGAACATTAAAGCATCACATTTTAATAAGCATTTATAATAGTCAACACAGTTTTTCTCAGGTATATTGTTCAAAATACTCAGCAACACTTTCAAGTGTGCAGAATGTATGGTAATTTTATTCCCTAAGAGTACCAGCTCCTCTATATTTTGTTGTTGAAATATAAAGAAAAACTGCGAATACAATTCCTTGTTTTGCAGGGTTATTTCTTATATTAGTCCAAGTGAGAAACTGCATCCATGTTCTGTTAATCTTATTTGATATTTTTCTTACTCTTTGCATTAATGTTCAATTATAATATTTTATGTTTCATCTGACTCCTTGCTATCTAGTGCAGAATCCAAAAAGCACTATTAATAGTGGGTTCAATCAATTTCTAAGTGCATACATTTCCTCTAGGTACCGATCTAATTGCAATCATAGCAGACATTAAAGAAACATGCTCTAAAAATGGGAAAATTGTGTAAGTTAGAGTGCTGGATACAATGAATAAACATGGATCTGATTCTTCTAAGTGCTTTTGGAGTGAAAGTTTATTAATCCACATAAATATCTCTAATCAAATGCATATTTCAAACCACCTCCCAAAATGTGATTTATACACTTGACCTGAGAGCCAGCAAACACTTCAGCACCCATTCGTGTTTTATTGCAGTGTTCTGCACAACTTTCCAAATTGCAGTTTTCTAAGTCCTTTCCTGCCCATTCCCTATAAAACAGGAGAGGTCAGCCAAGATAATGGTAGGAAGAAATGGGAGATCTTCAACAGATTAAAAAACCTTGTCGAAATGAAGAAGCAAATATCAGGTGCAGGGTAGTACATTTCTGGGCTCAGAGGAACCATTGTTTCTCTGCAGTGTCCCCCTTAGGAAATCAGGAGCCTGACTTTTCTCTAAAGCAACATATTTTTGCAGTCCCCATGACTGTGCGGACTCAGTTGATGGAGTGGTGAATTAATTTTTTGTTTCTTGAAGGAGTGACTTGTTTCCTCGAGACTCTCCATGAAAAGTCATTTTATCAAAGTATGAGACCAAGCAAATTTTGAGAGTTTAAAGCATTTTAAATTACAACTTTACACCACTTTCACAGAATTCACATCGTAGAATGAGGAGTATCTTAATAAAAAAGTAAAGTACCTTGTCTTGAAAGAGTTTTCATGTACTCAGAGCACAGGTATAATTCTTGTCATTTCTACACTCTCTTACCCCTACATCCCTATCACAGGGTAAATTTAACAGGTGCAAAAGAATCCAACCACAATCCTAGCTAAAAAATAAAATGAAATTATCATAATGCTTGCTTTAAAACTGGTGGGGAAGAGCTTTGGTGTTTGATGGGATCTGATGAATGCGACTAAAGTGGAAACAGCACATTTTCATAGAAGATTTTTCTTCCTGTGAGCTGTTATCTGTGGTTTTAACCCCAATCAAAGCATCCTGATGTTAACTTTCAAGGTCTGTGTAGTAGCTGTTGAATGTGTTATTCTCCCACATGATACCTTGGGTTTGTACTGAAGTTGTCACGTGTATTGTTAGATATTTAGGCCTGTACCTTTAGTTTTGCTATGTTAAGTTTGCTCAGGGCAAAATGTTTTTTTCTCCAAGGCAGGAGAGAATTACAGCTTCCAGTGTGGGATGAGATCCATGTGTAGCACATAGAGGTTGTTCTGTAAAACCAATACTGAGGAGTCAAATAATCAGTGTAGCTGAAGTTGCAGTTCACCAGAAACAGTCAGGAGGAAAAAATGTCCATATTCACAGAGTCATAGGATCTTTAGGGTGGGAAAGGACCTCTGGAGATCAACCAGTCCAACCCCTCTGCCACGGCAGGGACACCCGGAGCAGGTGACACAGGAATGTGTCCAGGTGGGTTTGGAATGCCTCCCTCCCTGGGCAGCTGTTCCAGGGCTCTGCCACCCTCCATGGAAAGAAGTTCTTCCTCATGCTGAGGTGGAACTTCTTGTCATTTAGTTTATGGCCACTGCTCCTTGTCCTGTCACTGGACACCACCAAAAAGAATCTGGCACCATACTCTGACAACCCTTGGAGATATTTCTGTGGCTTGATGAGATCCATTCTCAGTCTTCTCTTCTCCAGACCAACCAGGCCAAGCTCCCTCAGTCTCTCCTCATCAGAGGGATGCTCCAGACCCCTCACCATCTCTGTGGGCTCCACTGGACCCACTCCAGTAGCTCCTTGTCTTTCTCAATCTGTGGAGACCAGAACTGAGCACAGCACTCGAGCTGTGGCCTCACCAGGGCCGAGCAGAGGGGCAGGATCTCCTCTCTGACCTCCTGGCCACTCTCTTCCCAATGCACCCCGGGATCCCATTGGCCCTCCTGGCTGCAGGGACACACTGCTGGGACACGAGCTGACCCTGAGTCGATGTGTCACCCTCCAAGGGCTCCAGGTCCATCTCTGCAGAGCTGCTCCCTAGCAGATCAGCCCCCAGGCTGTGCTGGTCCTTGGGGCTGTTCCTCCCCGGTGTGTTCCTGTCTCTGGGCAAGCTTTCATCCCTCTGTTTTAGCTACATAAATGGGCTGTCACGGCCTGTGTTTTTTGTAGCTCTGAGTTGTGATTTCCTTGTCTTCAGATCTGCTGCTCAGGAGAATTGATGGCAAAGAGGTGGATAATTCAGTCCTCACACGTAACAGAGTTTAATCCCATAAGTAGCCACATGAAAGCCAAGGGCTCTAGATCTGAATTTATCAGAGCAGGGAGCCCTTGGGCAAAGTTTGACTAAGCAACTCTTTTCAAAATGTGATGTGGCTGATTTTGAAAATCTTGTCAGTTTTATCTACAAGGAATAACTGCTGATAGAGGAAACAATATACATGACACAGGCCTGGAAATAGCAGAGATGTTTTAAAATACTATTCCTCAATTGACTCACCTTCATTTTATCTTACTTTTATCACAACAAGGCTCTGCTTAGCTTTGTTTACATTGGGTATTTAGCCACTATCAGTTATACCAAAATTATGAGGTTTAAGTAGACCAGTTCTTTATTGTAGTTATCAGTATTTTATACAACTCTGAGCAGGATTAGTCAGCAACATGATAAAACAAGTCTCTGGTGTCAGAGCTATATTAGTGCTCATGGGGTTGCTACTGTTGGTGAAAACAATGTTGGAAATAGTTTAGAGGAGCAATAGTAACCATTTGATATTTCCAGAATGATAGTGCAAGACTAAACTAACGTGGTTTTAAAGGAAATTACATATAATAACATATAACTTCTAATGTATGAATAGAATTTATGAATAAAAAGGAGGTTCTGCATTTCCTCAGTATTTTAAAAAGATGGTGACGTTACCAAAAATAAGAAATTTTTCTTATTGTACATTTGAATGTATACGTAACTCTCTGCTAGCTAGGAACAATTTTACAGAAACCCCCACAAAATATTCTGCAAATGACCTTTCTGAATAATTGAAGATGGCTTTGCATTTTTACCAGCATCTCCATAAACTCAGTGTGGCGTCGATGACAGTTCACCACAGCATCAGCCATAGAGCATCATTTCCAAACACACACAGAGAGCTTTACTGTAAGTAATGAAGTTATTAGAGAGCAACCAGGACAAATATATCTGAATGCTAAATATGCTTTATGATCTCAATAATTCTCATGGTAAATATAATTTTTTTTCTGCAGACCAGGTGGCTAATAGCCAGACTTTATGGAATTTTGAAGTGGGTGGGTAATGAAATTGCTGTTTTCCCATTTTCTTCCTGCATGTATTTGTCTGTAGCTCACATATGGAAAAACTGATACCATATTTCTGGGGAATATTTGAGTTGTAGCCATTTATTTTTTTAAAAAAGAATCACAGATGCCTTGTCTTCACTCATTGAAAGGTCCAAGCATAGTCCAGCATCCTACTGGTTAAAGAAATCAAGCTCATTTAAGCCTTGTAAAGTATGGGGGAACAGAAAGTATAGGTTGTATTTCTTACAGAAAGTAGCCACAAGTATTTTCTATGTGTAAATGGATACTTTGATGGTGGAAGGACATGAAACCTGCAGGAGCAAGTCCAGAGGAGGCCTGAAAGAACCCTACAAGAAAGATGGAGAGAGACTATTTCCAAGGGCCTGGGGTGACAGGACAAGGGGGAATGGCTTCACACTGACAGAGGGTAGGGTTAGATGGGATATTGGGAAGAAATTGTTCCCTGTGAGGGTGGGGAGGCCCTGGCACAGGTTGCCCAGAGAAGCTGTGGCTGCCCCTGGATCCCTGGAAGTGTCCAAGGCCAGGTTGGAGGGGGCTTGGAGCAACCTGGGCTGGTGGAAGGTGTCCCTGCCCATGGCAGGGATTGGAACAAGATGAACTATAAAGGTCCCTTATAATCCAAACCCTTCCAGGATATATAAAGGCTTGGAAACACAAAAACCTTTTTTTGCCTCCTCTTTTTCAAAGCCTGGGAATAAATGTTCTACTGCAGCTGGGAAGTGTGGAGAGAAACAAAAGGCACTAAAACAGTCTGTGCCACATTTTTCTGCCAGTCTGTAAACTTAAGCCTTTCAAGCCAGCAGAATAAAGGAATAGAAGTAGGTCTTATCCTTCTAAAACAATACAAATGCCCCCCCCCCAATGCTTTTGAAATAATTTTTTATAGATGCCCTGCACTGTTTCATGCCCCTTTAAGGACTTACTTTATTCTGGATGCTGTGGGGACATATTTCCTGGTGCAGTCAGTACTCAGAAGGTGTGAAGTCTTGCAGAATCTCCTTGGTGGGCTCTGCCATCTGCTGTGGATCAAAGGTCAGCTAGTCTCTGCATAGTAAATACCACACAGCACAATTTCATGGAAAGAAGCTTCGAATTAAATGAGTTTGAAGATTTAATTTCAATACATTAATGAAATAAGCAAAAATATGTCTGTCACAACATCTCTGAATGCCAACTCTGCTGTCTACAAAGAGTTCTTTATTGCCAAGCTTCAAAGAAAGTGTTATCTCTTAGTTATTCCATTGTTAAAATGTTAAAAGTTCACGCAGCTGGAATACTCGGGTCAGATTTGTATCATCCTCCTGCCACGTTCATGAATTCCTTAATAATTCCATAAACAGCTTAATGTCTTGCTCATAAGCAAACGTTCCAGTTAGATGATTTAATCAAATACCTTATTTTGGGCACCTTTTTTTATTACTGGGTTGTGGTGGCAGCACACTAACGTGATGTTTTATGATGGAACATGTGCAAAATAAATGGGTCTAATCTTCTGTGTAGGAGTAGGATACTGATCACAAGAAATGAGTAAAAAATACATAAACCTTTTATCTATTCTTTCAATGACTAATTGTGCTCCATTAGAAAAATATGGAAAGGCAAGGGAGCAGACTAGTTTAATGCAGTTTATAAATGTATACCCTTTCCACCTTTCTAAACAGGAAATTAAAATTTTCAGTAATAAGACTTCTCTGTTTTGAAATGTATTCTTTCTAAAGGAAAGCAGACTGACAGTGATGTAGCAGTATATTGGTTTTTAGGTTTTGTCTGAGAAGCCAAAATAAGGACATCAAAGGCATAACTTGATATTATGATAAAGCAAAGGGAATTCTGCATCCTATGCAGTGTCTGTCAGTTCTGTGCCTCCTGTGCTGAAATCTTCTCACCACTAAGAAGAGATTTGAATTGGAGGAACATTTTCAAAGCATGCTCCTAGTTAACCAGGGTTTACTTGAGCTGATACTCTCGAGCCTGTTGGTACTACCTATGAAAATTAGAGCCAACCACACACTTGGTTCCAAGGTGCTCCCATGATCAGCTGGAAGATTAAAAGGTGGCTGGAAGGTATTTCTTGGTCTGATTGCAAAACAGCTGCAGTTTAATTGGATCCATGCAGTTGTGTTATTTTAAACTTACAGAGCTGGTTTTCTGGATGTTGGAGAATATACAGGTAAGAAAATCTTGTTTCTTGTAAAGTTTCCCTGGGTGATACATTTCCAAACAAACACAACAACGTGTGCATGACTGGGGGTTAAGCACCCCCATGCCTGGGATGTGTCAGAGCCAGAGGCTGAATTTAATAAATATGGCAGTAATTATACAAGTGATTATTTTTAATCTGTGTTATGTAAGTGGGGGTTGCCGTTTTTTAATCTCTGTTTCGTGTGTAAAAAGAGCTTTCCTCCTTCTCTATCAAAATATTGTTGTAAGAATTTTATGGCATACACTCTTCTGATCGTAAGAACTTTCTTCTCTGTTTTCCTGCTTCAGAAATCAGCAGTGTAACAGTACTATGGCAATTGTCACACAAAGGCAGCTTTCCTTTCAAAATTATGGTGAGTCCTATAATAATTATCAAGGATTCCTTATAATTCACTGCCCTCTGAACATCCCTTCTAACTTTTTTTACTTTGAGCTCTGATGACATAATGGACATGAGTCAATGAATGTGAAAGATTGTCAGAGTAGGCAGAATAATATTGTATTTATTTGTATACTTTTTGCCATCCAGTGAATATTTTCATGGTTTTGCTACAGAAAAATGAAGAGCCCACACAGTCAGGACCAGATTTTCACTGTCACATGCTTGAGCAGGGAGGTGGGACCTGACCCACTGAGGTCCCTTCCAACCTGACCTCTTCCGTGATTCTTCTTCTGTGATCCCATTAATTCAATTTTGTGTTCCACTTTGCTTTTAAAAAGTGATTTTTAAAAGACAGTTTGCATTTAAACTGAAGGAATGGCACTCACATGCAGTGGCTCCCTTAGAAAATGTTGATGCAGGGGGGTGGTTTATGCACATACGTGCACACACAGAGCTGAAATTCTGCCGGGCTCATTCAGAGATTTTGAGGGGAGTTTTTTTCTCAGCCTCTGTTCCTTGTTAGTGGAACTCAAAGTTAAAAATGGTGAATGGGCAAGAAACACATTTGCTTGATAACAAATAGGCTTTAAAGACTTCATATTCCCAGAGATGTTCAGGTCTGCAACTGATCCTGAATATTTATAATGTGCATTTGATTCATGCTCCTTATCAGTGTGACATACACATCAAACAACGTGATTAAAGGGCATCTCCTTGATATCTGGCAGTTACACACAGCTGGGGGATGAAGATGGACTCCTCCTTAAGCCATAATCATCCACAAGAAATAGAATTAAAAAAATGGATTTAACCACAATCATAACTTCCCGGGGTTTTTTTTTAGTCTTCAACCGATACCATCGAACAGGTAATTTTGCCTCTTTTAATTTGCTGCCTCTGTTCAATATTCATTAATCTTCATGTTTTAAAAGTTATCTTCTCCCAGGACTTTGGGATAATTCGCAGCCCCAGGATGACTCTAATATCTGCCCATTTTTAGTATTTACTTACTGGGAGGTGAGATAGCGAGAGAAAAGGGAAAAGTTACAGGATATGGTGAGTTGTGCTGCACTTGAAATGCTCAGCTTCGCCCTCAGTAGGAGACACTTCCAGGTGCCTCTTGAACTCCCCCCTAAACAGTGTTTAGTGGAGAGATTAATCAGAACTCCATTAATTTTACCTTCAGAATTCTGCTGCTGCTCCACCCCCGCCTGCCAAGGACTGTGATTCTTGTCCCACTCAAGCTATTTCTTGAATTCATTGCAGACAGGTATGAACAATGTGTTTCTCACTGGACAAATTTGGGTCATTAGTTACTGTGGTGCAGAAAATACGGAATTAGAGGGTGCGGCAGAATGTTGGTTTCTATAAAAAACCAGTGCCAAACATGTATTTCTTTTCACATTAAAATAGGATTATCCTTAATTTAGGTGACTATGTTTGTCCTCTCATATTTGATCCCTGCAATAGCTATATTGGTTTCTCTGAGATTCTTCTTTTTCACATTTCATTGCTCTTTTAGTTCATTCTTTTCCACAGAGCCTTGCTTTCTTTAGGGATTTATGTCCAGGCAGTGAAAAATGTCCAGATATCAAACTTTTTTTTTTTTACCATTTCCTTTGTCCTTCTATTTTAAAGACAATATATCACTCAACTTTATTAGTGATTTTTATTTATTTATTTATTTATTTATTTATTTTTAACTTGTCAGAGTAAATCTGTGCTGCTTTGTACCCAATTCTTCACTGTTGATATTCTGAGAGGGAGTCAGTTTTGGAAACTTGAAATTTCTCTTTGAGGTAATAGTGCCACTTGCAAGATAATTTTTATTTGAAAGCAGAAGAACAGTTTTCAAATGAATGCTTTCAAAATTTTATCTCAGTGGGTTTTCAGAAAATTCATTTTAGGGATTTTCCTTTTCATCCTTTTACAATTTAACACTGTTTCATCTTTCCTGCTTTCTATAGTCCACTTTTGTCTGCAAGCAGGTAAAGGTAGAGGATATTCTTACAATTCCTAACACATTGGACCTGATGCTGAAACTTAAATTTTAAATTCTAAAAGATTATTTAGCAATTACCCCATTATTTTCTCAGCAAACAAGTTTTTGATATGACCAAACATTAAAATGCCTTCAAAATAAGGTATTGCTCTGTATTAATTTGCATGATCAAATAACCACAATACAGGCTTCTGCATGTATTTCTTCCAATGTTTGATCTCAGATTTTCATGAATACCTATTAAAAAAAGCAAGTGAATCTTCTCACAGCTGTATATCATTGGATATTCACTGCAATAATGCACAGGAATTATTATGTAAACAAAAGTTTTCATTATTTATCTTCATTTGTTCTCTGAACAAAAGGGTTCCCAGAGGAACATAGAGCTGGTAAAGCTGTTTCTCTAGAGGATTTCAGAAAAATACCATTTTAGTGCTTTAAATATAAATCAATTTATGTCAGATGTTGTGTTCTGGCATCTAAAGGGGAAAGGATGTGTAAGAGCTGTGTTCAAAGTGAGTGTTGGGATCTTTTCACGTGTTATATTTGCAAGATGTACCACTGCTGGCTTTTATCATTATTCTTAAGTTACTTCACATATATTTTAAACAGATATTGCTTTCTCTGATCCTGAATATCTTTGCTTACCATTAAAATCAGTTCAAAAACGGGTATAAAATTGATGTTGCACCAACAGTGCAACGTTGTGTCCTTATTCTGCAGAGAAATCTTTAGTGCTGTGTTTGTAGACACTCAATTCTCTCAGTAAAATGACTGTGTGCAGTGCTTCCTATACCTTTTCTTTCCTGAAATTATCAGCTCTTATTCTCAGCTAACAGAAAATAGTACTTTAAAATGTGCTTTTATGGGGAAGATCCGAGAAAAATAAGTGAAGCAGAGCAGCTTGGTGTGACAGTAGAAGCAATATAGTAATAGAGTGATTAACTCTTCCTTTGAGCAACAGCAACTGAGAAGATTCAGAGCAGCTTCTAGAAGTGGGAAGAGTTTGGACTGAGAGAGGAGAAACGTGTGATGACCCACCCAGCTCTCTCTTGCAGCTCCCCTGGCTTTGAATCAGCAGAGATTTCGTGAGACTCCTCATGGCTGCTGAGCTGAAAGACTGTTGCCAACTGGGTGATGCTCTCCCTTTATCCAGATTCCAGAGGTGAGTGCAAAAAAAAGTAATATCCAACTTTATGAGCAAAATTATGAGCAGCTGGAAACAGCAGAACTACTAAAAAATACCAGATGCCACGAACGTGAACTATTTTTATTTAGTTGTTTCAAGACTTTGTCTGATGTGTGTGTGTGTATATATATATTTAATTGGTTATTTTTAGAAAAAATTGAATACAAGATTCGGCCAAAATCCTTGCTCTCTTCTCAGCGTTACCTGAAAGAACTTTAACCCTTCAAACCCACATATAATATTGCAG